GGATAATAGAGGAAAACACACTGAAAAGTATTCATTCTGGAATTTTCCTTAGGCTTTTTTAAAAAAAAATTTTTTTTGCTTAGGAAGGTAGGACAGAGAGGTTATTTTTACTTAATGACATATATTTATCCTGGACCCAAAGTTCTAAAGTGAAATAAATCACCATATATGTTTATGTAATTCGCCCTATTTGTGAACGTTCCATTATTGTGATGTGATTCTACCATCCAAACTCCAGAAATGTAATTCATGGTAGAAGTCATTTTACAAACTGAGCAGCTTGGGCAGGGTTCTTCCAGGAGTCTGGTCTCACCGTCAAGATGTCAGTTGAAACTCTTACGTCCCCTGTCAAGCAGCTCTTCCCCTGTGTCCAGCTTCTTGCTAATGCAGATCTTGGGAGACAGAGATGATGACAGCTCCAGTAATTGGGTTCCTGCCACTCATGTGGGAAACATGGATTAATTTCTCACCTTCTGGTTTTAGCCTTGGCCCAGCCCCTGCCACTTTGGGCCTAGTTACTTAAAAGTCAGCAGGGACTTCAGGTGGAGGAGGGAAACCTTGGCCATTTCTTCTCTTCCTCCACTTCCTTCATTATTGCGGGAGAAGTAATTATAGAATTATATTATGACTTCAAGGCAATGCCCCTAGGTCAACTCTTTTCTTCTGCTTTCTACCTGTTTAGTTGCATATGGTAAGCAGGAAAGTAAATGAGATTGTCTTGAGAATATAGTTTCTATGCTAGCTTCAGGAGACTGTACTTCCTCATACAAGCATAGCTTGACTGTTATTCCCTGAGTGAGTCACAAGGTCCAAAACTCAACAGAAAGAGAAGCAAGCAAGGGGATTCTATCCATCACCAAAATCCTTAACTGGATATTTAGTGATAAGTTCTGGCCACAGGTTCTATGGTGCAGATTTTTGTTTTGTTTTGTTGTTGCTACTGTTCATTGCAATATACCCAGCACTAAGAACAGAACTGGCACATGATAGTTCAGTATTTGTCAAATAAAGGGACGCATGCAGAGACATGTGGGGAGGCAGGCATCAAGGGTAAGTATGGAAGTGGTTATCCAATGCGGGAGCCACTAGCCAAATGTGGCTATGGAAATTTAAATTAAATATAATTAAACTTGAAAATATAGTTTTCACTTGTACTCACCACATTTCAAGTGCTCATCAGTTACATGTAGCTATAGGCTATTGTGTCAGAAAGTGCAGATACAGAAAGTTTTTTGTTTTTATCATTGTAGAAAGTGCTGTTGGGCTGTGCTGTTTTTGATCCTAAATGCCTACTCTTCTACTTACCAGCTGTGTAAGCTTAAGCAAATCACTTCCCTCAGTTTTGCTCCTATTAAAAGACTGAAAAGACGGAAGCATGAAAAACAGGGCTTGCACATACTTCTTATCACTATTAGCTGAAAATGCTTTCTTTAATTAGATACTCTACCTGATATAAGGGATTGTGAACTTGAACAATGAATGTATATGGATGCTTTCCTATACAGCACAACAAGAAATTGACTCAAAGACAACTATTCTGAGTCTGCCAGGTACCACATACCCTCAAATCATGACCAAGAGTATTCTGAGTTGAGTATCTGTGTCTTACAATAAGACCAGAAACTCAAGAAAGATTCTCCCTAGAAGTAGAGCTGCTCACGACTTAATGATTCCATGGCCCTAGCTCTCCCTGAAGCTGGGCCTCTGGCAGTAAAATGGATAGTACCTGTGAGGATGTAGAGTCCCATCAGGTTTTATTGGCAGATCAAGTGCTCAGAGTAAAGAGCTCCAGCACCCTGCTGTCCTGCCTTCTGCTAGTATACACAAATAGCCAGCACAGTTATTCAGGTAGTCTGAAGCTTTGTTCCCATTGGAGAAATCCTGTTGGATCTTTTTCATGTTTTCTCTCTTAATTATACACAAAAATACTTGACCTTTTCATTTTGCCTTGGGGGATATGACCTGATCAGTAGTATCCTTCTATGACTTTAAGCATTTTCTTATAGAATATTTTTTATAAATTTTTCTTTATTCTTATAGAATAATTTATTTTAGAATATTTTATTAATTGATACATTTAACAAACTAATAAAATGTGTTGTTTTGCACCAATATCTATTTATTAAACTTTATAAAACTGATGTTTTAACAACATAAGAAAGCTTGGAATCTAAGTATAAAACATGCTGGGGATGTATTGCTGAATCTGAAATAAACTATGGGTGCTTAGTGAGTAGAGAGGAAATATGTGGGTTTGCTTCATTTTGATCATCCATGTATATTTATAAAGCTGACATGAGTTGTTGCTATGCAAGGGATATTGTATAATCCATAAAGAGTTTTAGAAAACCTATGGCTCAGAGAAGTCGAGTGAAGTTTCCAAGGAGAACAAGATGGTTCATTGCAGAGCTAAGGCTAAAGGCAAGATCTCTCCCCTTCATGTCCAGGTTTGCTAAAAGAAAATTATCTTAGAGGGTTTCAGAGAGGCAAGGGTTGGCATCCTTTCCTTGTTCATTTTGAGGCAATTTTTAATGCCAAATAAAATAATTTTTGCCATTTCTTCTGTTTTTCAGTATTACCTCATGGCCAACTCTAATTTATCATACATATGGAGTAAGGGAAAGCATAACTCATCACTGTCCTTCAAGCAAATCCGGACATAAAGTTGAGAGATCTTGGTGTTAGCTTTGGTTGTGAAATGAACCACCTATTTCTCCTTTTTTTTTTTTTTTTTTTTTACCTATTTTCTCCTTAAAATAGTCACCTAACTTTTCCAAGCCTTAGGCTTTGGAAAAGACATTTGTAAATGACAGGCTTCTTTAATAATTTCTAATTAATTGCTTAATAACACAATTGTCATGTTATTAAGGAAATACCAGTTAATTTCAAAAATAGATTTGGCTTTTCTTTTTTTCTCCTCAAAAATGTTCTTAGTTTTGCTTTCCAGAAATTATCTCAGAGAACTTATGAAAATCAAGTTTTCAAAAATATCACAAAAGGATGCATCATTCGGGCTCATCATACAGGACGTGCTGTCATCTGCAGTACCTCTTTGCTGGCTCTCATGCTTCGTGCCCACCTTCGGAAGAACTCAGACCCCTTCTTTGTTCCCTCTGTATGCTGAGGAATTCATCCATTTCCACACTCACAGCCATGATAACAATTGACAAACCAATCCCCAGACTTTCTTGTTTGAGGTTAAACTCCTCATTCTGAGCTGCTTAAGGGAGCTTGTGTCATTGTCTGCATCTTTGCATACCACTTTCATCTTGACTAAAGACATAGCCCTCTTCTCAGTGCCCAAATTAAAAGCTCATCATTTTTAACTCCCCCATCTCTGTTTGCCACACTGTAGCAGTCTAGAATATTACCAATTCCTCCTTTTTGGGCAAAACTGTCCTTTTTCTTCAGATCTCCATCAACAACTTGGATTACTGATGCCTTCATTTCCATCGAAATGGTGTCACTTTATATTCTCCCAACATTTTTCCCTGGTTCCATTCTCTCTCCTTCAAACCCATTATCTTCATTGCTGCTAAAGTTTTTTTGTTTCTAAATAATAATATTAGAACAACAGCAATAGCAAGGCCTTCCTTGCTTCAATCCTCCTTTGTCTTCCCATTGCCTACAGGGCCAGATCTATAAACTGGATTAGGAAGCTGGCCTCAAAGCTAACTTGGGAACTAGCTACACTATACACCATCCTGCCACATACCCAGGGAGTCAGTCACATCCTGCTTTTTACCCACTTTCTGCTTCACACATTCTGAATCATCTAACATGCACTTCTCTTCCTATTTTTGTACTGCTCTCCCAGTAGATTGTAATTCCATGAAGGCAAGCACTTAGCTGGTTTGTGCAGTCATGCAACACATAGCACACAGAAGTATCCCAAGGCAGGTGAGAGAACTTATGTTGGATGAATTAGTCAGTATATGTTCCTATGGATCTATTCCAAGGCCACCTTTGTCGTGAAGCCCCCCTTTCCCATCCTGTGAAGGATGATCACTCTACTGTGAATATTAAACACACCAAGTGCACAATTGTTTTGGCACTAACACATTATGCAGATTGACTCACTTTTATGTCTCTCTTATGTACCTGGGCTGCCTGATGGCAAAGGGTATCTCCTTTTCTTCCTAACTGCCCATCATTGTACCCAATTCACGGCAGGCATTCAACCATTTCCTGAATGAATGAATATATAAGTGATGGATTAGATATAGGAGGAAGATTTGATTTGGCCTGGAATCACACACACACACATACACACACTCCTATCAATGAGGAATAAGGCACACAAATCCACCCTACATAATCAAAAAGTCTCAAGGATTCTCTCCAGTAAGACATAGATATTCTGTTGGGTTGACTTTTAGCTCACCATTATAAAATACAATTCAAAAAGACAATGTGCCTCATAAAACAGGTAAAACATAGATGCACCAACTTAAGATTTTTACAGTGACATGGAAAATATTGATAGATTTTGACCTTTCATGAGCTTCTGCTTTTATTATTTAAGAGGTTCTGTTCTTTGCAATGAAAAAAGTGATTTGTGCATATTTATGATATTTTTTTACTTTTGTATCTTGAGCAAAATGAAGCAGCAGTTTTCCCAGTGAAATTTCAGGTGTGTGTGTGTGTGTGTGTGTGTGTGTGTGAGAGAGAGAGAGAGAGAGAGAGAGATGCAGAAAGGAAAATGATGATTTTCTTCATTCATCACTCTTTTCAGATACAGTGCAGGCTATCCCAGCTTAGGTCTGAGTGAATCCATTTCAAGGGCTCACTCTTCAATGCCCACTCTTTGCTCCAGTCAAGTGATCTAAGAAAACCACTGCCTGTCATCTCACTTGTTCCACACATTCATATTTAAGGAACACCTCAAGATGGGCAGAACCATTAATAGCACAGAGTGGATGTTGGTACCATCAGAATTTCTTTAGAAACCAAACTGGGAAACTAGAATGCAAGGCAACACATAAAGACTGAACACCTCACGCATGTAATTGTATATTTATTTCTCTTTTTAAAGAACACTCCTTAATGTAATTCAATATACAAACTTGGTTTCACAGAATTAGAATCCACCATATAGCACAAAGATAACCCAGATTGTGTGTGTGTGCATGTGCACATGCCCTTGTCCCCCTCCCTCTCTGCTCTTCTGGACCTACACAGGCTCTTCCCGCGTTCAACACCAACCAACAGCCATCCGGAGCGTTACAAACATCATCGTCCTCCCACGAGTTCTTCTCCCTGGAAGGCTTCTTTTCCCAGTTCCCCCTGAGACAGCCAGGAGTGTGACACACTTCCCTCGTTCAGAAGGAGAAGGTGACACCCCCAGTGCTGATGTTAACCCTGTTACCTTGTGGATGGGCTGTCGGGAAGAGCTGGGGAGCCGATCTCCATCCCCCTTCTCTGCTTCCACACCCAACCCTCAGTCCACGCACAACCCCTCTGTGGAGACTTGGTTCCAGTCACCATCCTGTGCAGCAAGAACCAAGGAGCCTTCTAAGCCCAGGTCTCCTCCACCGGCAGCGCCCAGCACTGCCGGCCAAGCCACCGGGCCGGCCGATAACCAAGCTCTACACAGTCCCATGTGCTTTGTCACTTTAATTTTTAAAGACACCCTAGCATAGGTCTGTGGCAACCTAGTGTCCAACTGAGTTACATAAAATTGTACCAGTGATGCACTTGTACATATTTACATGGGGTGGAATGTTTTCCCATATTTTTAGATGAGTATATAGATCAACATGTTCACATAAGACCAAATACTTTTAATATTATTTATAACTGATTTATAAAGCTTTGAAAAAACTCACAATAGCACGTTGTTTACTTTAATGCTTTACGGTACTATCAGTTTAAAATCACAATCAGCACTTAAGTTATGGTCAATCCAGCAAACAAGAGACAAAAAAATTTACAAGAGTTAAGAACTGACTGATACACCCTTTATCTTTTTTTTAACTAATGCATAAGTGCAGAATAAGATACTCTAGTTTAAATATCTTGTTTACAATGTACATTTTTGTTCTAGTTACGCAACAGTAAATCCCATGCTTCACATAGAAAAGCAATCCACAACATTAAGAAAAAATGTACAATTTATGAAACAAAGTAAATAAATATTAGTATTACAGAATCAGAGCTGTACATAAAAGCTGTTCAGTTTTAATCATATAAAAATATGTTTTAGTGCAACCTCACATATATATTGATGCTGTTTTGCTTTACATCATTTAGATCCAAGTGTCCAAAAAAGGAAAGAAATTACATTTATTACAAAGCAGATACACAAATTCTAAAATATGTACAAATTACTGCTAAAAAATGCTTATAAGAATATAAGCAAAGTAAAGAAAAGGCACAGACATCTGTACAATTTTAAAAGTACCAGACCCAATAGGTTAATTTCAAATTTTGTTTTGGTCAGGCTCAAGATGACTTGTTAATTTACCTAATTCTTTTGATATAACAAAAGTATATATAACAGCAAACTACTGTAACTTAGGACAGGCATGCTACAAAGTTGATTACCTCTACCTCTAGAAAAACATAAACAAAAAAATGGGGAAAGGTGGAAATGAAAGTTCCCATGCATCTCAGATCAATGAAGCGGGCTTTTCTCTGATGAAGGTTCTTTTCCCTCCTCTGTGCTTGAAGACAACCCCTTACTGCTGTGGAAGTCCGACTGTTTCTCGTCCACACAACTCTTGCCGTAAAATGTGGAGTGAGCTAACGCAGTCTGTGATGTCCCAAAAGTGTCCTTTTCACCATCATGCAAGTCAGGGTGCGGAGCTGAGGTACAGGGCTGACCTGGCTCAGGTCCACTAAAGTGTCTAATGCTAACGTGTGCACTTTCTGAGGGTTTCTGGAGGGGCTCCTGCACCCGTGCTGGCTGATCTGCCCCAAGCAGAGCTGCCTCTTCTGTGGCAATCCGGAGAGAGGCAATGGCTTTTGTGCAAGTCTGTATATTCTCCTCTTGTTCCCTCTCTGTGGCATTCAGGCTGTCTTCCGAAGTGCTCTGTTTCATCAGTAGACGAGGAGAGGAGGGAGTGCTCGGTAGACCAGAAGACTGTAACACGTGAGGCGCTCGCTTCTCATGCCCTTTGGAAAGCACATAGGGATCCTTTGAGAAGGACTCCCCTGGAGCTGCTCTCTTTTCCTCAGAGCCCTCCACTGGCAGAGGCAATGTGGGTGGAGGATGTAAACCAGAAAGGGCCGGCGGCATGGAGTGAACCATTTGGATCCCACCAACTGGCACCATGGGGATAGGAGCTCGCACTTGTTGCTGAGAGTGAAGTGGAAGATGACTGAAGACATAGTCATTAGGACCCTCAGGGAAAAGGCTGGAGCCTTGATGTTCATAAGCACCTTCTTGGTCTCCATAGAGACTGAAGTAAGGAACCTGAGGTAATCCTCTTCTTAGATTCTGCATGGGAGACAAGAGAGACACCAAGTTCAGACCTCACTACTATTCATCCTTAGGCCCTGCTATTTCACTCACTCATTCACTACCAAGGGAAGATTTGCTACTTGCTCTCCATCAAGTTTTCATTTTTCAGGACAAGTGTGGGCCTGGCAGTTAATTTGCCTGTTCAGATGCCTACATACCATGCAAGAGTACCTAGATCCAATATTCACCTCTGGCTCCTGACCCCAGGTTCCTGCTATTGCCCATCCTGGAAGGCAGTAGTGATGGCTCAGGAAGTTGTGGTCCTGCCATTCCCATATGAGACCTGGAATGAGCTCCCAGATCCCAGGGTCTGCCAGTCCCAGAATTTGTGGGCATGTGATGAGGGAAGCAGTGGATGGGAGCTCTCTGTGGCTCTTTCTCTGTCTCTTTCACTGTCTGTCTCTTAAGTGAAATTTTTAAAAATTATTTTAAGTGTTCACTTTTCAAAACAAGAGATTTTCTCAGTTGTCTTTCATAATTCTTAAATACAGGCACTGAACCATGAAGAGTTACTTTTGTCTCTTTAGGAAAGATTTGTTTATTTATCTGAAAGGCAGAGCATCAGAGAGAAAGGGAGAGAGGGAGAGAGAGATCTTCCAGCCGCTTATTCATTCCCCAAATGACTCTATCAACCATGGCTGGGCCAGGCTGAAGTCAGGAGCCCAGAACTCTATCCACGTCTCTCGCATGGGTAGCCAGGGTCCAAGTACTTGGGCCATCTTCCACTGCCTCCCCAGGTGCATTAGCAGGAAGCTGGACTGGAAGTAGAGCAGCAGGGACTCTAACAAGCACTGTGATATGGGATGCTGGTCTCACAAGCATTGTACCACAATGTCAGTCCTTTCGCTTTTGTTTTTAAACAGCAGAGGGACAATGCATTCTGAGTGTTTCCTACTAGGTACAGATGCATATTTCAGCTCTGTTTTTGTCATAAGAGGGAATGGAAAGAAAACAGAGAAGTACCAGGAAAAGTTTACTGAACAAAAATCACTAACACACACTAATAATAGATTTTTTTAATTCAATAGGAAATACAAAGATTACCATCTGTCTACATACTGCATAGATTTTTTTTTTCTTAAGAGTTGATGAGTATAACTAGAGTGGTGAGTCTGAAAATTGCTTTTTTAAAAAGTTTTCCAAAGAACAAATGACAAAATGGTGATGAGGATCCAGAAACTATCTCCTTCAAAGTGTACAACATGGCTCTAAGCTCAAGAGATGTTCACTGCAAAAGATCAATTTCTTCACCAGATCACAAATCAAAGTGATTTAAATCTTAAACCGATGGCGGGTTTTAGAAGGAAATCACCCACCAGAGGTGTAGTGGACATTTAGTATTTCAAACAATTAACCACTCTCATTCAGCCACATTGCCAGGAACCAAAGATGACATGACTGTGTCTTTTTGTCTGTTTATGCTGGTATTTCCACTGAAATTTCTTCCTGGCGATTAGTGAATTAAGTTTACTTAAAATTTAGGATAAAAATTCCAGATTTCACAGTCTCAGGTCCCAACCAGCCCTGAAAATGAAGAATTTATTTTCTATACTTATTTGTGTAATGAAATACCACTTAGATTGTGAGTTTATCAGGTTTTAATGACTGTGATTCATTCGTTTAATGAACTGCCATCCAAAAGGCCCAACTTTCTTTTTTTTTTTTTTTTGAGAAATTAAAATAAGATGGATAAAACTTGCCAAGCATGGTACTAATATAAGAGTGAGACAAAAAATGTTCTAATTCAGTTCGATGTTTCACTTAACTCAAGGTATGCTCTGTGCCATTTAGGATTTAGCCAGCTCTATTTAAGGCTGTGAGACTGGCTATGCATTATCTCTGTACTTTGGGTTGTGGTTGGCCCTTACCCTGCCCTGAGCTACACCTCAGGAAAGAGGGAGATGGAAAGATAGAGAGATCTTCTACCCACTGGTTCACTCCCCAGAAGGCTACAAAGGCTGGGCTGTGCCAGCCTGAAGCCAGAAGCCAGGAGCTTCATCCAGGTCTCTCAGTTGGGTGCAGGGGCCCAAACACTTGGGCCATCTTCTGTTGCTTTCCCAGGCTGTTAGCAGGGAGCTGGATCAGAAGTGGAGCAGCCAGGACTTCAACTAGAACCCATAGGGGATGCTGGTGTCATAGGCAGTGACACAACGCCAGCCATTTGTTTCAAGGTAGAAACAAATATAATGGTGTAATCATCAATTCTACCATCACCAGGACCTCGTAAGCGCTAGGAAAGGTGGGACTTTTACATTATGAGAAAGAACCATTTAAATGTTGCACATACACAAAATCTGCCTTACATTGGCTCTGGTTTAGAAAAAGGCACATCTCCTTCATCAAACATCAGTTAAGATGGAGGAACTGTAAATACTACAAAAATCTTGGAAAGTAGCCAAAAAATGCACTTTTAATCACAGTTATCAAAGATTCAAAGCTTAAAGGAAAATGTATTATTTTTCCATTTAACTTTTGGTTGCTGTTTAGTGGCATGCACGTAACCATCATGGAATCTATGGGGGACTGGAGATGGGGACAGGAGCCAACAGGAGAAACATGCCACTCTGTAAAGCCTCTTGAGACCCCTGACTCCATGTGACAAAGGGGATGACAAACTGTCCTCTAAAACCAGAATAGATCCATCATGTCCTCAACCCAATCATGTTTTCTTTGTGCTTCTAATAACAGTGTCCGGTTCGGAACTGTGCTGATCAGAAATGCCACCCTAACAATCACAGAGATAATGTATAAGCCGAGCTTCCACCACGTCATCAGTTTCATGGCCCCAGATTCCCCTCGCCATTCCCACACAAGCTCTCTCCCCCTAGTTACTCCTTGTTTACCTTCCAAATGAACTTGAAATAAATTTTCTCTACTTTGACTTTTACTTAAAGCTCAATCAGAAAAATGCAGCATGGAAAAAGTATGGATAATAAATAGATACATATATACAAATACATACATACATACATGCCCACATACAGATCCATGTATGTATATATCCCATGTACCAGACAGAACGTTTTCAAAAAGTTCATGAAAAATGAAATTTAAAGATGTTTATTTGGGTGAAAAAAAAAAAAAAACACTCTGTCTAGGCTATGGAAGCCCCTTGAGTTCACCGACTCTGAACTTGTTTAGTCAAGGCCGTATCACAGTGGAGGTTCCTTCCTCCCTTCACAGAAAGGTGCCTCTCTCCTTGATGGCCTGTTCCTTCTGCTGGGCTATGGGGCTTCCATAGCCTAGACAGCTCATAGCAAGAGTCTCGGGTAATTGCTGATGTCATAAATAAGACTGCCAATTGTTAAATCAACAACGGGAATCACTGGGTACATGCTCCCCACGTAGGATCTCTGTCCTTAATGTGTTTTACTATGAAACTTAAAAACAACACTACTAGTCGAACAATATCCTATACCTTGTGCAGTTGTGTGAGTACAGCCTGTTGAAATCCTTGCTTAGTATATACTAAGTTGATCTTCAGTATATGAAGGTAATTGAAAATGAAACTTGATGCAGGGCAGGATGGGAGAGGGAGTGGGAGAGGGGAGGGCCACAGGAGGAAGGGAGGTTGGGGGTGGGGAGCCACAACAATACAAAAGTTGCACTTTGTAAATTCACATTTATTAAATAAAAAAAAACTATATAACGAACAAAAAAAAAGAAAAAAAAAGAACTTAATACTTTACCCTTTTAATATTTTTTATGTTCTACTTAAAACTATTGGTTGAACTCTGTAATTAATACACAATTACTCTTAGGTGTTTAAAAAAAAAACTCTGAAATCCATGTATATGAAGGTTTTTAAAAAATCTTAAAAAGTGCCTAATGTAAATTTCTGAATTTTGACACCAAAATAAATTTATCTTTCAATGCTATTTTTCATGAACTTTTTGAAATTCCCTCTTAATATCCCCAACAGGGTGTCAACAGAGTCCTTGGAAGCCAATGCTGAGCCAATGCAGTGAAGCGGTCTTTGTCGCACATCAGAATCCTGGGTTTGAGCCCTGGCTCTGGCTCCTAACTACAACTTACTACAAATGCAGAACCAGAGAGGCAGTGGTGATGGCCCAAGAAAATTAGGCTCCTGCCACCAATGTGAGAGCCTCTTGGATTGAGTCCTAGATCCTAGCTTTGACCTCAGCTTAGCCTCAATCATTGCAGGTATTTGGGGAGTGAATCAGCACAGGAGAGCTCTGTCTCTCTTTCTATCCCTCAAATTAAAAACAGGTAAGGCCAGAAATCATAACATTATTTCATCCTCTTCCTTGAACCATATGTAGTAGGACCTCAAAATTATTTACTGGGTGAATGAATAAAGGACTCTTACCTTTCTATTCTATCTAAAAATCAAAACAAACTACAGGGCATTAGGGAAGAAACAGCAAGGTGGCAGGAATCTTAGTGACTGCACCTTGTCTCCCTCCAGACCTTCTCCCTGGGTCTTTCATTCCAGCCTGAGCCAGAACGTATGTCACACTGGGCTACAAGGACTTTTCACACCACAGTCACTGTCCTGTGGGCCCTTTGTTGATAGTAAGCATAGAGACAAGGTATTACTACCAGAATTTATATCAAAAGGATTCCTTAGCATTATTCCAGTTTTTATAACTTCATATATTATTCAGAGAAGACAAAGCCTTCATCTCATAGAATAACCAGGAGAAATATCTCTCACAGCATTATCACATTTTGCTCTGATCACGAGACTCTCACATATCACAGAAAGCTGAAAATCATCCTCTGACCCTCTAAATGACAGCATTAACCATGGGAAGTGCCTGGGACCCAATGTTCCCTTTCCATAGAGGATTCCCCTATCTATCCCTCACATCATGAAAATAGCACAGTAGGCTATATATTCTCCAAAGAGGATTAAACTGAGTAACCAACCAAAGACTCCATCAAAGGTAAAGTTTAACAATTCTTTTAAATATACAGGTGAGCTGGAATTAATAAAAACATAACAAACACAAGATTTTCCAGCAACAGTTTTCTAGGCATACATACAAAAATTACATGCATTCTTCTAGTCCACTCCTTAATTTCTTTTGTGTAATTTGACTGTGGGTTGCTCTAATTATTTTTCCCCAGTGTATTTACACTAAAGGAAAGGCTACACTCAATCTAACCGGCCAGTGCTGAAAAAGGAGCAGCAGCGAGGGTGGAAATACCCCACTAACAGAGCTTGCCAGCACCAGGGCAGGTATTTGACTCTCAATGAGAGGGTTCAGGATCCTGCAGTCCAAGGGATTTACTATTTATGCTGTGATGGCACAAACTTCAGAAGAGCCCCTCCTTTCAACTTCTGCCAAGACACAAACCTATGGAAATGTGCCTCTTTCTCTTAGTTTGCTAATTTATTATCTTGGCAAATAGATTACATCCTGATGTGCTAGGTACATTTCTGCAGGATGTGCATCATAAGGATAAAGTTGGTACCATGCTTGTGGAAAGGGAGTGGGGGAAGAAAGCAGGGGAAAGAGGGTTTAGAGAGAAGGAGGGAGGGGGATTCAGCAGTGAGCTACCTTACAGTTTAAGGGTGATAACCTAAGCCTATAACTAAGGGCAGAGGAAGGTGACAAGAGGGAGGGAGCTGGACACCAGGGCAGGGAAAAGACAGAGCTGGGAGCTGGCAGTACTTCCTTTCACTGATGCACAGGACAGAAACCCAGAGCAAAGACAGTGCAACAAGGAGAGATGGGAAACAAAAACTCATTGGAAGCCAACAATCTCCAATGATAAAGCTCTCCTGTCTATACTAAGGGCCTGTTTTATCCACTTTTTAAAATCCTACACAAATTAAGACATCACAATCTATTGTGTCCATAGAATGAAGCAGGACTGGATTTGCATTAAGCCTACCGCTCAAGTGAAATCCACAATCTCTACTGCTGTTATCTTAATTTACAAGGAAAGCAAGCCGTAGAAATCCCCTTGTTCATTCTCTTTTAGCTCTTCCAACTCCACATCCCCTTGGGCCCATGCTCTCACTCAACAAGTGCATGGAGTGGTAACAAAGGCAAGAAAAGCAGATATGTCTGTGCCCTTGATTTATGAACACTACAAGTATCATTCCCTCCTCTCCTGGTCCCTGAAGAGTTTCACATGTCCACTTACCATGGACCAAGGTAAAGCATATACAAGTTTTTGGAAAGTCAAGGCTAACAACTGGGTCCGAACCCTACTTGGTGCAGAGTATCTGTAATTGACACCTAAATGTCATGATGCATGTCTGTATGTGCAGTCAAGCCATTCCAAAGGCTTCCTCTCTTTTTATTCACATAGAGGTTCCAGCTCATGTCTATCATTAGTTAAGCTCTGAAGGTCGTAGGATATCCTCATCTATCCCCAGCTGTCATGCAACTCTATGCTAGGAGTACTGCAACAACTGCATTACTGACAATAGCATGAAATAAAAATGTCTTCCTGCTATTTTCAGTAGTGAAGTTCACTCCTCCTCATGAGAGATACCCAGGTTATAATACATCAGTTACTAGTGTGGTATCATAAGGCTCCAATGTGCTTTGACTCATGTATGAGAAAGAGAAAGTGAATTATACTTACGGGAGGCCCCAGTACAATTGGCTCTGCTTGCAAATACTGCCCCATGGACAATGGCGGGTTATGGTATAAAGCCCTTCTGGGAGATGGTGCTCTTATGGTAGTCAGGTATCTCCTCTCTCTTCTAGGAGACAGGTCTCTTCTTGCCGTGATGTCTTTCCCAGGAGACACTGGCCTCCTTGGGGACAAATGCCTTCTTGGTGAAATATCTCTCTGGGACATCTCTCTTCTCAATGCAGCTTCTTTTCTTGGTGAAAGATGCCTCATGGGTGACAGCTCTCTCCTCGGGGATAAATGTCTCCTAGGTGATAAATCTCCCTTGGGTATCAGATACCTCTTTGGTGAATTATCTCGACAGGGTGACGAGTCATATCCTGGTGAGGAATGGCGACTTGAGGGTGAGAAGTCCCTTGGAGAGGAGCTTGGCTCTGAAGACAGCATGCCCTCCTCGTCCATACCACTAGGGATGTCTAACCTGTCCTTGTCTGGTTCCGAGTCTGTACTTTTGCTCTGAAACAGCCTCTGGTATTCTGTCATCTGAGTATCTTCACATGAGTCACTGGGTGTCATAAGCTGAGTCACTTGAATACTTGGCAAAGTAACCAAATAACTGATCAATGAAGAATGCCCCAGGGAATTATCTGAAGGAACTCCATGGGCCACGGCACCAACATTCACAGGCAAGGAGGAGAATCTCGGAGGCTGAGGACTAGTGCTTCTTGATCTCGTTTTTGGAGTCAAATCTCCTTGGTCATCAAAGTCATCATCATCTTCATCATCATCATCATTATCATCTCCATCCTCACCATCTGATTCCTCAGCATCTGAGAACTGATGATCAGTTGAAATGCTGGACATGCTATGCTTCTCAGCTGCCTTGTGCAAATCCTCCATATTTTCTGAAACAATCGAATAAAGATAATGAAATTGAGATCCAATTGTCAAGATTAGGAGCCCAGATAGGCCCTATCTCTTTCCAAAAGCTTTTCCCAAGCCTTCAGTCTTGTTATGCCTCTGAGCTCCTACAAATCTTGCAGGGTACTTACTTGACCCTGCATTAATTCTGACCTTTTATGAACCCATTTGGTCTCATCCTCACCCTACCATAAGGACTCCAGAGGAGAACCTTCCACATCAGATACCATCCCACTCATAGAAAACCCTAACAAATGGGTATGGATAATGTTAATAATGCTGCAACAACTCATCTCTCTCCAGGTTCAGGTACAAGCTTATGCATAAGTGGTGCATCTCAGGAGGGCTGGCCTGCTCTTGAGTTATATACTGTATGTAGTTAATGATGGATATTTTTTTCCGACTAGCTTTCCTACTTATCCATTAAAATACACTTCAGACTTCCAAATAAGTTTCATAAACCTTAAATCACTCTCACAAAGCAAATACAACTGTATTTTTTTCACAGTTAGAGACAGAAGTATTTTCATAGCCAGGCCTTCCCCAACCTGTACCCTGGCCATAGTCACAACCGAAATGCATTTATTTCTCCTTATCAGGTTTCAAGCAATTCAAGGCTTCAAATTTATTTTACATGTTTAGTATTTAAGAAAATGAGCTGTAATCAGCTTTTTAAAAACATGACAGTTTATCACCCCAGCCACAAGGCTCCATCCAATGTGCACGGGGAGGAGGCCAGTCAGCTAAATTGCGGTATACCTGCTTCTTCAGTTTCTGTATCTTCCACAGATGTCATTGAGACTCCCAACTCCAGGCATTTTTTCATGTGTGCCTTCGACTTCATATGCTTTGTTAGGTTTCCTAGAAAACACAGCCCAAAAGGAAACATTTGATTCCTAAAATGTAAAGATTGCTTCAAAATTCAACATGAAATGAATTAATTTGGAGTGACATAGATTTGTTTCTATCCACCACTACTTGTTCTAACCATAACAAGAACAATTTGGTTTCTGAAGATATAAATCTTTGAGAGCTTCAGCCCAATCTCAGGTGTTCTTTATTCCAAGCCAGTGTTGTGTCTTTTCCAGAGCAGAAAGACTGAGTATCCCAGACTTTTTTTTTTTTCCTCAGAAAGGATTTAATCTAATTGAAGGGCTGGCCTTCTGCAACTCTCCATGAACAAGGCAACACAGGCTGGGTCACACACTATTGAGAAATTTCCCAAAGCAACATTCTCAACACATCCACTGGACCCCAATATTTTAGGAATTGATAGATACATTAACCTCCAAGCATCTGTACTTGTGAGAGGGAAAAAAATATATAAGCTAATGTGAGGGTCAACCTTGTAAGTGAATTCAAAGACCCATAAAAGAAATTCAGTAACTAGCTTTAGAGAGTATTATTCCCAGTATGTAGCACCTATTTGTCTGGCACATGTTAGCAAACTTTTATGTCAACAAGTTATAAAATACTGGAGCAGCAATATCTGCTTTTTATTTATCTTGAGACTCTTATCATTCTAAGAACAAGAAAGGCTTCATATCAAATATGTCATAGTGATACTATATATATGATTATATGTATACATACGCATGTGTATCTGTAGATTTGTATAATTACCATATGGAATGTAAGAAATTTAAAAACAGTGATGTGATCACTCTGGATCCAGGGTCTACAACAGGAACATACATAAAATTCTATGCCATATAACTTCTCCCAAAAGATCCAGGAACAAATTCAGTTCTAAGGAGACTTTCCATTCCTTTCTGTGAAAATGTCCCTATTACCTTCTGTGCCCTTTGATGAAGCTTTCACAGCATACCACAGGTGCTCTGTTTCAGTAGGCTCCCTGACTAGGTGGAAACTTTGTCCCCCTTGTAAAAATGTTTATCTCATGGTTAACATCTTACAGGAACCAGAAGTCTAAACTGGGGCACTGTTGCTTATTATTTTACTTATATTACTTGATTATTTACATGCTACTTGTTATACTTATGAATTTTATGTGCTATTTTGATAACTCCAAACACAGAAATATTACCAATATGCCATGATTCTTATTTATCAAAATATTACGTGAAATTTTTAGAGTTCAAAAATTTTATACATACATCAAAAATTCCTGCATCGATACATTAATTAAATTTAACTATAAGGTTAATGGAAATCATTTGCTTCTGCCAAGGTGCAAGTATGCTGCGCCTATGTATGCTCCTGGATGCTAACTACCAAGATGATTTGTTTATTTAGGTTTTAATATTTGTTTCTTCTTCTGTGTTTTTGTCTCCACCCACTGCAAAGAAGTGGTCAGGCTGCGGGCTAACAACTTTAGAGAAGGTTTGCAGCTAGGAATAGGGATGTGAAACAAGCCCACCCTGCACTGGTTGGTTTAAGTCATGAGTTTCTGAAGTAAAGGATTAGGTCAAGGAGGCCAAAGTAGCAAGGGCATTGTAGCTGAAGGTAAAAACTGTTGGGGTTTCCAGAATATTTGGCTCATTTTAAGATCCTCTCTGTAACTCTTTCAAATAAATAAAATAAATCTCTAAAACAAAAAAATCCTGAGACATTTGCATATACCCAAAGGGTACACACAAGGAAACTCAAATAATGACCAAGAACAAATTATGTCCTGCTAAACCTCCAGCATCATGGCTCAGAGCAGACTGAACCTGATTTTTAAAAATAGCTAGAAATGTGTCATGTCTTCATCTGGTTTTCACAAATTTATAGCCATGGCAAACACATTACACCAAGTGAAGCTATATCATTTATAAGGACTGAGAAATCTGCAGTATTTCCTAAAATCAAAATTTGTATTTTCTTATCTCCTGGGAATCTCTTGGTAAGGGTATAGACAAAAGGCTTGATTGTGAAAAGGTTGCTGGTAGTTAAAGGACCTTATTTATTTTGAAATGCAAATGAACACTCTCTCCAGTCTTGGCTTCAAATTAAGCACACCTGTAACACTGATTTTTTTTTTTTTTTAAACAAAGAAGAGCCTAGGTGTGAAAAGGAAAGGACATAAGTTACACTTCTTAGGAATCAGTGTAACAATTTAGGACTTCTGGCTGCAAGAGAAAATGGGTATATATTTTTTCCTATCAAGGGTTATTTTATTTGCTACTTTTTTTTGATGAGTATCAGAGCAGATTAAATGGTATGCAAAGTTAAAGTGAAAACAAGGGAAATGATGTGAGGTTGGTGAAGGACTGTGTCTGCAGAATCCATTGTACACAAGTCAAACAACCTCTAATTCACTACTATTTGTATTCTGAGAACAATGGGCCTATGAACATTTTCGTGACTTACAAAATCACAAAAGTATAAATGAAGCAGCTTTGTTGAGTAAAATAGTTTTGTATAAATCTACTTGTTACAAACAGATTTTGAATGGAATGACAGAATATCATTTGAAGGCAAATCCTAGTTCTATGAGATTAACAGTTGTGGCCTGAGAGTAAGAAATTGTCTCTGTGCTGATAAATACATGGAACAGAAGCTATCAAATTTCAATGCATAATTAATGCAACTGTGGATGGAGGGGCCCACCTGGGAGCCTGTGGATTTCTACATTATTTATAATCTTGAAACTGACCATGGGCACATTTCTTCCCAGCTGCTGCCTTGCTCTTCTAATACCACTGCCTGTTTGGTTTCCCTGCAGTGTTTCAGTACCGGTACAAATATTATCTAGACCACATAACATTTCCAACATGAAGTAATAGCTATCCAGGCAATTCTTAGCCACTTCCTTTGGAGACAACTGGCCTGGATCTAAGTCTATAGCTCTTAATTAAGTCATAAAAGGAGCCTCACAGTCTCAGATACATCCTTTGGTCATGAGGGAGAAAATACATTTATTGCATGGAGTCCTATTTTCACAAACAAAACCATCTTATTGCTGATCAAAGTTAGTTGCAAAATAGTATTCAGAATTCCAAGTAGCCATAAAAAAATACTTCTCTCCAGAAACATCAGACTTGTACCTTTCGTTTTGAAGGCAAAATTGCATAACTTGCATACATAAGGCCGAACATCAGTATGAGTGCGGATGTGTTTTTTCAGCATGCTTGGCTTCTTGCAGCGAATCCCACATTCTTCACAAATATACTTTCCACGTCCACGTCCTCTGACATATACATAATCTTCATTTGATTTATACCTGTTTTTAAAACAAGAGTCCAGTGTGTTTTCAAATACTCTTAGTGTGTTATATATCAAACCAAAAGCTGATCATCTGCATGGCAAATTTTTATGAGGGTCGTCTACAAATAATTATTCAAGCTTACTTTTATGAAGTCTTGAAATTTATGCAGTAAATGCCTGAGAGAACCAGATAATAGATTTGGCACTGTAAACTGAATGTAATTCTACATGGAATTCAGAATAGAATTGGCTCTGCCATTAAGTGTAAATTTATGGACTCAGAGTAGAGATGTTCAAATGGGCTTACGTAAGCCCCAAAGATCTGCACCTTATTACTTGTGAATCCTAACAGAGCCTCCAATTAAGCAACATCCAAAAAGCATACCAACATATTCAAATCCTCCTGTATCCTTTGTTTGTAGGACAGGATTTAAGATGTGCACGTACAAAACACATAGCCCTCTACAAGTGCTATATTAAGCATAACTGATAATAGAATTCTTCATCGCAAGTTTCTACTCTATTTTTAAAATCCTGGCACGGGACTGTCTCAGAAATTTCTGGTTTAAACAGGCTGAGCTCAGCTCACCAACTGTTGTCTACAGATTTGATCTGCTCTTCCCAAAGCCCATGCGTGGATCTGTACTAATGTGGAATCTAAATTTCAAAAGGCTTCTTAAAGGTGCTGTTACATAATGAGAACTAGAGAGTCTATTTTTAATCAAATTTGCATTTGTTTCCAGAAGGATTTGATAGAGATGGTTGAAAGGATATCTGAGGTCATCTAGTTTAATCACCTTGGTTAGAAGAACAAAGTCTTAGGTATTTCCTTTGATAACCAAGGTAAGAAGCCTGCCCAATGCTCAACCATTCCATTTTGTCTAGAATACAATGAAACATGGCATATTATACACTAACATTCTACTAAATTATTCAGTGAATAGCATTATTTCAAATCACACGCAGGCTAGCATTACAGCTCTAATGTCATATGAAAATATTCTTTTCGGGGGCAGAGGGACCTTTTGATAACTTCCAGAGGTAAGCTGACATGCAAAAGGCCCTAATTCACTGTAGATTCACTTTAAGGCACTACAATCACAATTTTTTAAAACATTCTAAGAGCATTGCAAACGCCCCTATTTTGTCCTAGTTAATCTACATATAAGAATAAAAGCAAATTCAGTTTTAATGATCCAACCTACTGAAGGTGTATTTAAGGCAGAAAAATCCATTCATATATTTAAATAGCAACTCTTAACATTATCTATTTTTTGGTCAATATCAGTCCAAGTGAGATTTAAGAGGAGTCAAAAATACAAATACATTTTACAAGCCTTGTGCTGCCTTAAATTTCCTCCCCTTAACAAGGAATTCAATTCCAACTTGTTCTTTAAAATTAGTTGGAACTGTAGCTTTTATCTCACATTGTCTTTTGTAATAAAGTAGAAAAGAACCTACAGATGCAAAATATCTTCCACTTTCCATTTTCACTACTCTGCCTCTTAACTAGATGGAATTGCTTAAGGGCTGTAGAATAAAACAATTTTATAGAAAGCTTTTTCTGTTTTTTCTTTTTTACTTATATAAAGGGGACAAATGTCATGTGTTCCATATATACAGATTTAAGAGAATAGTAAAACTTCCCATCCTAGGGAAGGATTCTTCAATTTTACTGTAGTCCATCATCACAACTGATAGGAAATACAGTTTATTCCCAGAGAATATAATTTTATTTCAATATCTAAGCTGTTAACTTGCTTCCAGAATGAAAATACAGTAAAGTTCTATATCACATGTTAATTGCATAGTAAAAAAAACTTGTACAGATAAAATATAATAGTTGACAGATCTAAGAATCTATTTGGTAGGACAGTTAATGAATTTTTAAAAATAATTTTAAAATATATTTAATGGAATTCCTAAGTGCATCAATTAGATAATACAAGGAATATACACACTTAAAAATGTCTTTAGTAACACTTTTTTTTTTTAAGTTATCACTTTTGTTTTGCAATGGCCAAAACAAGAGGTGGTAACAGAGTGCAGTGGTCACCTATCTACCATCAGACAAAAACTGGATCAAAGGAGCCGGCGCTGTGGTGTAACTGGAAAAGCTGCCATCTGCAGTGCCAGCATTCCATACGGGTGCTGCTGGTTTGAGTCCCGGCTGCTCCACTTCTGACCCCACTCCCTGCTAATGTGTTTTGGGAAAACAGCAGAAGATGGCCCAAGCCCTCCCTGCACCCATGAGGGAGACCAAGAAGAAATTCCAGGCTCCTGGCTCAGATTGGCCCAGCTCCAGAAGTTGTGGCCATTGTGGAGCGAACCACTGGGTGGAAGACCTTTCTTTCTTTCTGCCTCTGCCTCTCTGTAACTCTGCCTTTCAAATATATAAATAAATAAATTTCTTAAAAAAAAAAAAAACTGGGTCACAGATAAAGAAATGATCAGGACATAGACTATAGCACAGGGAAATGAAAGCAGTGGGACATGAAATTTGGGCATTAACTTTTTTGCATCATCAAAACACAGCACTAAAATGTTCATGTATGCTTTTTCACTTGTGTGCTTCATTAGTGGAGATGGGCTCCCCATTAACAGTGACTGTGAAGATCTCACTAATCTAGTGGAACAGGGGCACCACAATGAAGGCTGCTGAATATGTAAGTATTGACCCAGCACAGGGACCTCTCGGTCTCTGAGGACAGGCACAATCTATATTTCTCTCATTTATGTTAAAAGATGATGGATATCAAAAGATTGATGATTACACACAACTGTGGTTTAAGGGAAAATCACTAGACATTGAAGGTGGCAAAATCTAAGGGAGAACAAACAATAATAATCTCCAAACTGGTAAAACTGTGTGAGAAATCAGTATCTCATTTCACCAAACATTCAACATTTCATAGTCAAACAAGTAACAGTACTTTGTCATTCATATATAATTGTAATAAATTCATGTTTATGAAAGTATGAGAATTATAGATCTTTTGTAGAGATAGGATAGTTACATCATAAATCCCAGAATATGGTTAACATATTATAACTTTTTTTTTATTTAAAAGCACAAATCTGGAATGTTCCTTTCTTGTGACTGGATTTAGAGACACTTCTATCAAAATCTAAAACTAGTTATTAAATACATACGTAATTTCTTCACTGTTTGTATAATAAAACCATTTATTCTTACTAACTGAGTTTCAATGGCTCCGAAGTCAACATTTAAAAAGAAATTCCCAAATACAGAAAAACTATTATAGATCAGAGACTGGGGAGATAGGATAACTCAATATGCTACAATATCGTGACTTGGATCCTGAAACTAAAAGAAGACATTGATGGAACTGGCAGAATTCCAGTCATGTCTACAGTTTAAGTAATAATAAAAGAAAACCAACATATTAACTAGTTTCTAGGATTATGTACAATTTCATTTTTACAAGCATAGAATAAAAATGCGTCCATTAGTAACACAAATGCCCACTAAAATATCAAAGAATGAACAAACTTGGATAGTAGCAACAGTATGCCAATTTAGTAGGGTCCATTTTAAGTCAGAGGTGTGAAAATTTAAGGCAGAGGCACAAACTGTACATATTGGGGACATTTTCATTAAAAGGAAGTCCCAAAAGCAAAGGGACAAACTCAATACCTACTATCAGGCAGACTTCAAAGTGCGACGAGAAATGAATCAACTGGAGTAGACACTACTCTGTCCATGTCAGGACCATGTACTCTGACACAAGTGACCCTTTTACATTTGCACTTAGGTTTCCTTACCCTCCTTCAAAGATTTTAATTCGGATTGGCTCAGTTTGTTTGGATCCAATATCCTTATCTCCATGCATATCTCCTTTCCCTCTTTCCTTTAAGATACTTCCCACTAGTTTCCTTTCTAGTTTGCTGCCAAATAAAAAGGCTGTATCAGGTTTCATCTGTAGGACAAAAAGAGAGAATCATTTCCCATGCGTTCTCTAAGAAACAGCAGCGCCCATACCCCATGCTTCCATGTTGAAAATCTGCCAGAACTCCATGCTAATAGGCCATGGGCTGCTTATGTAAAGTAACAGACACAGAGAGAATGACTGTTTCCACTGAATAAACTTAACATTTTGCTTAAAAATGTTCACTCCATGCAATGGTAATAAAGACTTAAAAATACATTCTGTATTTTGAAGTAGAAATTTTTAAAAAAATCTCTACTAATTAGGAAGTAGTCTCAAAATTATTAAAGAGAAATGGTAACTGACATAATTTAAAATATATTTTTTGTTATTTTTTATTAATTATTAAATTCTAAAATGCCCCTTATTAATATATTTTCTAATTATACATATAAGGCATTGGTTGTTCATACAGCAATGGCCACCAACGTGGAAAAGAAAGTTTTGAAGGAGAGACACAGAAACCAATTTCAGTGAGAAGTCCTGTCAATGAGGCCATGTCCATTTCTGGCATTTGCCAAGTTCAGTTCTGCCCACCTCTTGGCCTTTCCTTTCAGCATTCACCCTGTTCCGCACCCCCATCTCAACAGTTCCCTAAATTCCTTGCACCAAAAGAAAGCAGATATGCAAGGTCAGAGGGTGAAGAACCTACAAGCATCAACCTGAGTGGGAGAATTTCATGGCACCTGAATGAAGGACATACTTGGAGTTTTGGGGGCTTCTCCCACCCCTGGGGGAGGCCAGAGATGATGAAGATTCCTCCAACCCAGACCTTAGAGCCCTCACTGTGTAGTCTGTTTGGCAATCATCAATACAACACAAGGTACTTTCCCAAACAGCATTGATTACCTGAGAAAACTGTTTCCAAGCACTTGATGAAGTCAGCTTGCCCGTTCCCGGCCGATGCATGGCAGCCAGGGTATAAATTTCTGTGGTGATTTTTTGCTTGGACCTCAGAAGAGCCAGAGTGGTCTTGGTGTTCAATCCCGATGGGTTTGGGTTACAGGAACTAATGCACCATGAAGCATAAACCGAGGATTTGAAGGTGGCCTGCTGCACAAAGTTGGGTTTTGTATAATTCAAGAAGCACCAGCTCACAGTAGTTGTTGTCCGCAGACTGGGGAACTGAAGAATCTGCTGGAAATCTGCCACGTCCGTGAAAAGAAGAGTGGAGTTGGCCATGTTGCCACTGGGACCAGAGGCCATGTGGACCAGCATGCCAATGGGCAGCTTCGAGCCCTTCCCCTCCTCTTCCTGCTGACCATCTCCTGCGGGCAAGGACGAGCCCTGAGGGCTCATGCTCATGTCCGATGCTGTCTCATCGATATCTAACTCATCGGAGGACTCTCTGCTATCTGAAGGTCCACTGCACTTACGCCCCACAGCGGCTGCCCTGGAACCCGGAAGCATCTCCCTGCTGGGTGGGAATGGCTCCCTGGAGGGTGCACTGACAGCTGGATGGTCTTGAGACGAGGAGGGCGACAGGGAGGAGAAGGAAGATGACCCCGACTGCAAGCCATCCTTTGGCTCAGAGGCACATCCTTGTCGAACCAGCTGGGGTTTCTGGGGGCGGGAGAGGTCCTTTTTGATGTCTGAGTTGGTTAGCTCCACGGCACTCAGTTCCTCCACGATTTGTCCATACATCTTTTCTTCTTTGACCCTCTTCTGCTGCTTGGTTTCCATGAAGAGCTCCAAGCTGCTGGCTGGAGAAAGCATTCGCTTGCTACCTCCAAGGGTGGCAGCGCTGTCTGAGGTGGACGGTAAACATAAGGGGATGGAGGATTCTAAGCCAAGGGGTAAGGTCTGAGGTACTTTCCAAATCGGGTATTTTTCCAAGCTTGCATGCTGCCCCAGCACCTGGGCAATGTTAAAACCTATTCCTTGCATGGCTGCATTGGTTACCAGTGTTCTTTGAGTCATATTCTCATCGACCTTGCATATGACAATGGCAGGACTGTTCTGCCCAAGTATCTGAGAAATGCTTGTGTACATGACACTTCCATAGGACGGAACGTGTGTCTGGATCCGAACGGGCACCACCGTTCCCGGTAAGGATTGCAAAGGCCCAGCATTTGCCAAGGCAAAATCTTCTTGAAGAACCTGCTCAGAGGGAGTTTCAGTTGACTTACCACTCGGGTCCGGTGGAAATTTTGGAGGAAGGTTCTTTGAGTGTAGCCCTGATGTTCCCGAATAACACGGGTAAGTTTGCTCTTTTGTGGGTGCATAATCAGCAGATTTCTTTCCCGTGTGCTCGGCGATGTGCTCTAGGGGATAGCTAGAATGAATTTCTGTCTGGAAAGAGGGCTTGCTGTAGCTCTTCTGAGGGTGTGGGGCAAACGGAGGTGGGAAATGTGCCTGCCACCAGGGAGGCTGCTGAGCAGGTAAATGAACCATACACACGGTGGGATACTGAAACTGAAACAAGGCATTCTGGATGGGAGAAAATGGAATAGTCTCTTGATGTGGAAACAAGGGAGGCTGCTCAGGTAAGTGCTTGCTTGTCATATAGGACATTGGTTGTATCAGAGAATTTCTCAGAGATTCCTGACTGTCCATGTGCATGATCTGCTGCTGGGCGAGGTGGTGTGGCCCGGAGCTCAACTGAGCACAAGGAGCCACCACCTGCTTTCCTGGGTCATCCCCTGGAAGAGGAGGGAGCCCAGAGGACGGGCCATGGTGCCATGTGGCCCTGAGGCCGGCCTGCAGCTGTTCCATCTGTTCCTGCTTCACGCTGGGGTCCACGCCACTCTCGCCCTGGGCGATTTCTGGGGAGCCGCTGAAAGAGGCCTGGCGCACCAGAAAGCATTTCTTTCTCTCCCGGGACGGCGACAACACTGAGGCCGGAGCTCCGGCCACAGGAGCGTGGGACAGATTCCCATAATCAAACGATTTGCTGCGAATTTCTGGGACCTCCGTTGGGTGAGGACAAGGCATCTGCTCTGATGAGCAGCGCCGCATTTCCTTTTGGTGGTGGTGGCCTGGAACAGACAGCGAGTAGGAACCAGCAGGGACGGTCAGAAACTCTGAATGCTTCCCGAACTCATCCTGCTTAGGAGGCGCTGTGAGCTTAACGGTTTCTTCTCTTTCGAAAGACATCGAGAAACTGGAGCTGTGGGACAGGTTGCTTTCTTGGCTGGGGCTGCGAGAGAGGCCTGTGCCTGTGGATTCGAAGCTGGACTCCCCTGAGGAGTGCTCCATGTCTGCGAGTCGCAAACGCTTCTTTTTGGGCGGCAGCTTCTCAGCGGGGAGCTGGGAGAGGGTCTCGCTCCTCTGGGGCCACTGGAATTCCTCCACAGGCTTCTCTGGCTCTTTACTCTGGGCTTCTTTCTCCTTCTCAGGTTTATCGGGCTCCTCCGTCACTCGAATCTCCGGAACCTGAATGTTGTGCTGGCGGACCAACCTGGGCTGCGCGTGGTAGGACTGCTGCTGCACCTGCGGGACCTGCGAAGGCTTCCCCGCACCGTCTGCACCGTCTCCGGCTGCAGCCCACTCTGGACTCACGGGAGCTTCAGAAACCTCGCTGTCACCAGTCTCAGAAGGTGAAGGGGCTTTATCCTGTGTGGAAGCCACCAGCTCGGCTGACTCGGACCTTTCAAATGAATTGGGTCGGCTTAGGGAATTTGTGTGCTGGATCACAGAAATCACATTTCCAGGGGGTTTCCTGCCCCCTACGTCTGACACCTTGTCTGAATCTGTGGCTGACGGTGACTCTTCTGACCCAAGAGATGGACTTCCAGACTGCAGCGGGGGCCGACACAGGTCAAAACGCTCAGGGTGACCATGGCAAGGGTTCTCGTGCCCAGCCAGGGCAAATCCACTTCTTACTCCTTCCTGCATCTGCAACTTGGGGTCATAATCTGAAGTCATCATGGCCACAGGAGTGCTCACAACACTGCTACAAATCATGGGGGTGTCCTCTTCATCTCCCACGCTCTTCTCTTTCCGGCGTTTTCTATTTTCACACGTGGTCCCAAACATGGTTGGCACACCCTGCAGTGGTACCATGGGATCCATGAAGTATTCTCCACCGTGTTTTAAAGAACTTAAGCTGGAAATGTCCCTGTAACTTTGCTTTGGTGTCTCCGAGTCTTCCCACTTCTTGTAGAGTTTCCGGCAGACATCATAGTCATACCCAACCCTATCCCCAGGAGCCAATTTCTTCTCCTTCAAGGATGAGCCAGTGACACTCTTGGACATCCTGCCGCCATGGTGCTCCACCTCCACGTGCCCTTCCTGTACCGAAGGCAACTCGAACGCTGCTTGTCGTCTTAACATGCGCTGAGGGGGGATGCCCACGGTGCCAGGATAGAACACGTCGTCAGAGCCCGCCATCCTTTCATCAAAGGAATGGCTCCCTCTCAAGGAAGGAGGAATACTTAAATTAGTTGCCGAAGAAGTTGGCATTGAATTGCTTCTAATAAGGGGTGAAGCGTCTACAGGAGCTTCTAAGAGAACTGGGTTGCTGCCTTGGAAATGTCCCGGGTAAAGCTTTTCTTCATTCCTGACAGATGATGGAATCGTCTGGGGCTGTCTGGACTCACTGTTGAACTTAGCGGATTTCAGCACACTCGTCTGACTGGGGTCAACGTCTCCCTTGCTGGGGATCAGCTGTGAGACGGGATCCTCAAACACCTGGATGTCTAACCTGGTGTTGACATGAGGTAATGGTTCCATCAGGCCCTTCCTGCCCATGCTGGCACGCTCCTGACTCGGGGGTGTAACACTGAGTGCATTTCTCGGGCTAAGCCGACAGTATTTTCCAAAGATGATTTCTTCGTAAGACTTTGCATTTGTGTTGGGGGGGCTTATTTGCTGCTCTGCACTTTCTGAGCGAGAAAAGTAACCAGAATCAGTGCTTCCTTTACTGTGCGGGCTCAGAAGGTTGAGAGAGGGCTCAGAATCATGTCCTTTTTTCTCCGACAGTCTTAGTGCAAGTTTCTGTTTAACCGTGTGAGAGTCATCAGCCTTCGTATTTAAGGACGGATTTGGAAGCGTATCAGAGCCAATATACTGAGAGCTCTCATTCGGTAGAGGGATCCCGCTTTTGGGGATAATCAAAATCGGCACCTTCATTGGACCTCCCAACGATTCTTCCAAGGACCCATGATAGCCGCCTCTGCTGGCGATGTCCAGCGGGATGGGTGGGCCGGGGCTCATTTTCTCAGAAGCTTCGGCAAACAAAGAACTCTCCTCATCTGTGTCTGTACTCTGTTCACCATCTGAATGTATTTCTGCTTCTACATCAATAAAACCAGCCTCCAGGTCCAATTTAGATACAGCTGACTCTGTGAAAGGTACTAATCCTGCCTTAATTGCATGGGCATGTGACTTCCTGTGCTTGTACAAATTGCTCTTTGTCTTGAAAGAGAAACCACAAGGTATACATGGATATGGCCTCTCCCCAGTATGGGACCTGATGTGTTTTTTCAGTACGCTTGGTTTGGCACACGCCCTGCTGCAGTAAGGGCAAATGTATTTGCCGGGCTTTTTGGGTTTGTGCTCTTTCTTGTGAGCATCTTCTGCCTGTTCGATACTTTTCTGGGAGTATTGGCTATAAGCAGGGTTCAGACTTGAAAGCTTTTTTCTAGGATAACCACCACTGTGGCCATGGATAGGAAAGGGAAATAAGTCCTCGGAGGCGACAGATGGCAAAGGGCCAGGGAAGAGCCACGGAGGGCCTTCGAGGCTCTGATGGGGCTTGTTGCTGTGCAGGACCCCCTGTGGCAATGAGTGCTGCGGGAAAGAGAGTGAATGTTGGCATGCATAAGGACTGGGGCGGGGCGGTGGGTACTGCTTCTCTGCGACTTGCTGCACCCCTTCTCCAGCTGAGGCTAGCTTCCCAGAACCAAACAGTTGTGCTGATGCTGTGTTTCCAATTTGCTCAGGGTCTATTTGTGGTTGCCGCTGTCCTTCTTGACTGCCGAAAGTGCTCATCTTAATTACAGCTGATGGTTCCTGTCTCCATCTACCTGATGCTTTATCAGTTTCTCCAGACCTTGAGGTAGCGTTTTGTCCTAGAGCTGTGTCCCCAGTGTCCATTTTGTGATGCAAGGTCTTAAGTGCTAGTTTGCTTGAAAGCCGTGCAGACTCATGGAGTGTCTCCAAAGCTGTGCTTTTTTAAAGCTTGGCTGCTTCCATGTTCCAGGGTATCTGCAAATTCAGTGATTGCTCCTTCTCTTTGGAAACTTGTATGCCCACGCTGTAGTCAGTGGGCATTAGATGGTGATGTCCTTGGACCAGGGCTATAACACAGTTCTCTCCATTGCAGAAATGTCCATCCAAAGGTTAAGTGCAAATATATAAAGATATCTTATGGCATTTGAATATTTTCTACTAAAACGAAATTGGGATGATGGATAGTCTAGGAGAAATTTTGCCCATCAACTACAGCAAAGTTCAATCACCAGTTTCACTAAGACAAAATGACCTACGAGAAAAGAAAACACAAAAATATCATTACAGCAATTATCAAATGAGAAATCCAAATCAATCCTAAACAGCCAACCTGGAATCGGATAGTTTTTTTTTTTTTTTACTCCAAAGCATTCTTTCTATAGCTATTGCATTAATTTCACAATTAAAGGATATTAATTTCAAATTTAGCATTAAGTCGTAAGTATAAATCTCTTTGAAATTGGAAATTTGGTCATCCTATTAAATATTCCATAGTTTTAGATAGAAAACTAGATGCAATAAAGCTTCACATATAATTATTATTTATGTATTCATAGTATGTTTAAAGCCTTGATTAACAAGATTAACACCATTCTTATCCAAGTTTTGACTTACATGTTAAGTACACATCTAGTGATATAATTTATAATTAATATAAAATATTTGTTTATATAAAATGTTTACCATAGTCTAAATGTAAATAATGCCTAAAACGCATTTTAATAAAATATACAAAGCAAATAGCATATAAAAACAGAACATTTTATATAATATATAAATATTAAATATAGGTATATTTTTATAGCTTAAAAACAGCTATTACTAATGCTAGACCAAGGTAATAAGAATCAAAGATTATCACATAACTTTGGAAAAGGAGAACAGTACATTTAACAAAACCACTACAAGTCTTCATAACATGGAAAACAAAGCATATTTTTGGGACAGTTTAAAAATAAAGTGGTTACCTGAAGAGTTTAAAGTTCTCAAGGGCATGATTGTCCTGACGCTTCCTGGGTACAAAACAAATGCAGTTAGGAAAGACTGTCGTATTAAACTAATACACTGTTATATGCAAATACAAATTAAATTCCTATTTCCAGTTCATTACATATAGGACTTACAATGCTGCGTGCCCTAAAACAGGAATGAACTGCTTCAGAATATGCCACACTAAGTCAGTATCTTAAAAGACACTGTGTCCAAAAATAACTCAAAAATTCATTAACAAGTCATAATACTTTCTAAAATAAAAGATTACTACAACAAAACATCTTAATTTTTTTTTGCACACAACCAGCTTAGTTCTAATTCCCTAAATATCAAAACATTCAGTATCATGGATTTTTTTTTATTGCACCCCTAAGTTTGAACATTTAAAAGAATGTGTTTTTGTTTAGGTACTTACATCACAACAAAGTGAGACAGATGACAGTGAATGGCTCCGGAAGACTTGAAACTTAGTGTCAGATTTTAAAGGAATACTTGATTTCCATAAGGGAGTCATCTATGTACCCAGAAGATTCTGAGAACTTCCATGCTAAATTATATCAATTATGATGGAAGCTGAGATGTGTCCTTGATGGGCAATGTGGCAGTGTTCATCAGTCTAAGAAAGCTCAAACACTTTGGCTCAAGTATTCCACTGGTGTGAACAAGTGCACAAAGATGTATATACAAAGACTATTTAAATAAATTATGGTTCAATCATCAAACTGGCTATTATAAAATATAGATTACAGCTATAAGTACCTACATGGAAACTCACTCAGGTATAGCTATATAAAGGCAAGAAAATATTACAATCCCATTTGTGTAAAAGAGAAATAGGTGATAAACAGAAGTTTCCTGTTGGGATGCTAAGTAGCCATTTTTTTTTTTTTTTTTTAAACAGGTAGAGTTACAGACAGTGAGAGAGAGAGACAGAGAGAAAGGTCTTCCTTCCGTTGGTTCACTCCCCAAATGGCCGCTATGGCGGCGCACTGTGCCGATCCGAAGCCAGGAGCCAGGTGCTTCCTCCTGGTCTCCCATGTGGGTGCAGGGGCCCAAGCACTTGGACCATCCTCCACTGCCTTCCCGGGCCACAGCAGAGAGTTGGACTGGAGGAGGAGCAATGGAGACTAGAACTGGCGCCCATATGGGATGCCGGTGCCACAGGTGGAGGATTAACCAAGTGAGTCACGGTGCTAGCCCCGCTAAGTAGCTTTTAACACAGAAGTAGAACCAGGGAGTTAGAGAAAGGTGGAGAAAGGGATTTTATTTTTTTACCTTCTTACTTTTAATAAGTTTTGCTTATATTTTTTCCAACATGGGCATGTTCACTTTTTTTAAGTAAAATACTGATTAATAAAAAAAGATAGTATTATGCAAATGCACTGTAGATTCCCAAACTGAAACTCAGGTGCTGCTCCTATTCCCATGGCAAATTTGCTTCCTAATATACAACTCTTCTCTGATGATGATGAGAAAGGAAGTGAACATAGGAATTCCCAAAGAATAAATCTTTGGGGTGAAAACTCAGTATCCCCCAGATATTTGTAGCAAGATATCTGTAATCAGAGTTCCCACTGCTCACAGTCTTGAAGCAAAATAGATTTGTAATGCAACTGTCACAGAAATTAGACCACCAAACAGCCCAGGAAACCTTACTTTGCGAAAACTTTTACAATTGGATTGAAGTGCCCCCATGACTCCACAGCAATTTTCCAAAGCACCCTCTGAAAGGGAAGTGAAGACCTCCTAAAATTCCAAAGCAAACTTGCTCCTGTCAAATCCAGCCACCATGCTAACAAGAAGCATATACATTGTTGAATCTCACCTGGCTGGATTTTGTGTTTAATTAACTAAATATTTAAGGTTCATGTAGACATGACCTATGTCCAACTTTCAGAAGTAAGCATTCTCCAAAATGGAAGTAGAGTGTATTTCCAATTCAAGAGAGAAATGTTTGTGTTTTCAATAGGGCTCAGAGTTTGAATGGAATGTTTTCTAAGTTACTTACCAAATTTAATATTTTATAATGGCATTACTACATATGCAGTTCTAATGCTAACATAGATTGAGCATCCCTAATTAGAAAATCCAAAATTCGGGGATGGTATTTTGGTGTAGTGGGTTAAGCTGCAACCCATATGGGCACTGGTTCCAGTCCCAGCTGCTCCACTTCCAATCCAGCTCCCTGCTGATATGCCTGGGAAATCAGTAGAGGATGATGTGGATGGGTGCTTGGGCACCTGCATGCATGTGGGAGACCTGGAGGTGATTTCTGGCTCCTGGCTTTGGATCAGCCTAGCTCCAGCTGTTGTAGCCATCTGGGGAGTGGACCAGCAATAAAAGACCTCTTTCTGCCTCTCCCTCTCACTCTGTAACTTTGCCTGTCAAATAAATTAAAAATTAAAATTTCAAAAAAGAAAATCTAAAATTCAAAATCCTCTAAACTCCAAAACTTTTTGAGCACTGACAAGAAACTACAAGTGGAACATTCCACACCTGATCTCATGTGATGGGTTCCCAGCAAAACACGGATGCACTAAAAATATGATACAAAATTACCTTCAGGGGCAGGCATTTGGCCCAGCGCTTAATATGCCATTTGGGATACCCATGTCCTGTATCAGAATGCCTGGGTTCCAGTCCAAGCTCAGCTTTTGATTACATCTTCCTGCTCCTGTGCACCCTGAGAAGCTGCAGTGATGGCTCAAATAACTGAGTTCCTACCACTCACATGGGATATCTGCATTGAGTTTCTCTCCCTCTCTCTCTCTCGCAAATTAAATAAATAAAGTTAGTTTTAATACACATAGTCAGGCATTGTGACACAGTGAGTTAAATTGCTGTCTACAACACCTACCTCCCATAGTGGAGCACCAGTTTGAGTCCTGGATGCTTTGTTTCCAATCCAGTCCCCTGCTAAGGTGCTTGGAATAGCAGCAAAAGATGGCTGAGACTCTGATGGAATTTCAGGCTCCTGGCTTAGGCCTGCACCAGCCCTAGCCAATCTGATCATCTGGGGAATAAACCAGCAGATGGAGGATCTACTCCTGCCCCTCACCACTCTGCCTTTCAAATAAATAAATAAATTTTAAAAAAATTTAAATTAAGGGGCCAGCGCCGTGGCTCAATTGGTTAATCCTCCGCCTGTGGCACTGGAATCCCTTATGGGCGCTGGGTTCTAGTCCCAGCTGCTCCTCTTTCAGTCCAGCTCTCTGCTGTGGCCTGGGAGGGCAGTGAAGGATGGCCCAAGAGCTTGGCCCCTGGCACCTGCATGGGAGACCAGGAGGAAGCACCTGGCTCCTGGCTTCGGATCAGTGCAGTGCCAGCCATAGTGGCCATTTGGGGAATGAACCAACAGAAGGATGACTTTTCTCTCTGTCTCTCTCTCTCTCACTGTCTAATTCTATCTGTCAAATAATAATAAAAATTTTAAATTAAGAAATAACACTCAGGCTGTGTATATGAGGGGAAATAAGAAATAATACTATTCAGGCTGTGTATATGAGGGGTACATGAGATATAAATGAATTTCATACTTAGACTTGGGTCTCATACCCAAGATATCTCACTATGTATACACAAGTATTCCAAAAATATGAAATCAGAAACACTTCTGGTTCTAAGCATTGCTGATAAGCGATACTCAACATACAATAACAATAATAATAGTTGTCCTTTACTGTGTATTTACTATATGCAGAATACTGTTATGGAGTTTTCCATATATTATCTTATTCAGTCTTCACAGCAGCCATTGCTATAGATATCATCACACCTATTTTATAGTTGAGGGTGATGCTTAGGGATGTAGAGTGGCACAATCAGTCTTCAAATCCAAGTTTGGCTGAGCTCCATCTCACCCACTGTTAAATTTTACCACAATTTAAAACAATATATCTTCAACAACTTGTCCCCTGAATACTTTCACTAACTTCAAGATTTGGAATATCTGAACTTACAATGGTTCCTGCAAAACACGAGTCTATGAGCTCTGCAAGTTTAAGGTACAGAAACTGGTCACAAAATGCCATTTCCTACAAGTCATAAAAATCATCATTTAAATACTGTTCAAAATATGTGAAGTATTAATTGGGCACCTCCTGCTGGGAATAGGGTACATTCTCCCAGTAAATTATTTTCCTTTGTTCTTTGAAATCATTATTTTAAGGAACATAGGAGTGTCATAAGTGACGACTAGGCTCTTATCACTCCTCATCCTATGGCTCACAAAGAATAAATAATTTTGCTTAAAACATAAACTTAAATAAGAACACAAAATTTTATTTACTGTATCAATAGATTTAATAAATTATTAAATAGAATATAATGTTTTTATTAGCCAGGAGGTAGTACTTTAAAATCAAACATATGGGGTGGGCCCTGTGGCAGAGCGGGTTAATGCCCTGGCCTGAAGCGCCAGCATCCATATGGGTGTCAGTTTGAGACCCAGCTGCTCCATTTCACATCCAGCTCTCTGCTATGGCCTGGGAAAGCAGTAGAAGACAGCCCAAGTGCTTGGACCCCTGCACCTACGTGGGAGACCTGGAAGAAGCTCCTGGCTCCTGGCTTTGGATCACTGCAGCTCTGGCCATTGCAGCCAATTGTGGGGTGAACCAGGGAGTGGAAAACCTCTCTCTCTCTCTCTCTCTCTCTCTCTCTGCATCTCCTCTCTCTGTGTAACTCTAATTTTCAAATAAATAAATAAATCTTAAAAAAAATCAAACATGTAATTTTTACAGCTCACAATGAGTTGAAACCACTACACTAATGTAGATATAATTCTCATTCACTAAAGACACAGCATGCAACAGATGCACCAAATAAAATCCAAAGACAATATTATACTATCAGAGAATAGATCAAAAGATAAAGAATGGAGATTTACATAACATTCAAAAGCAGATATCTTACTATCAGAGCAAAAGTTATCTAAAGCATTAATTGTTTTGGGGTTTAATTTTTAGAAGAACAAGATGAATTAGAAAAAAATACTATCAGGGCTGTGGCTATGGTATAGTGGGTAACTGTCTGTGCTGCTGGCAATCCATTTGGGCACCAGTTCGAGTCTGGGATGCTCCACTTCGGATCCAGTTCTCTGCTATGGCCTGGGAAAGCTGCGGAGGATGGCCCAAGTCCTTGGGCCCATACGCATCCCAGATGAAGCTCCTGGCACCTGGTTTTGGATTGGTCCAGCTCTGGGCATTTTGACCATTTGGGAGTGAAACAGCAGACGGAAGATTCTCTCTCTCTCTCTCTCTCTCTCTGTAACTGCCTTTCAAACAAATAAACAGATATTTTAAAAAAGCAAAAATATTATCTATATTTTATTAAAAATAAATTTTCTGGCTGGCACCATGGCTCACTAGGCTAATCCTCCGCCTAGCGGCACCGGCACGCCGGGTTCTAGTCCCGGTCGGGGTGCCAGATTCTGTCCCAGTTGCCCCTCTTCCAGGCCAGCTCTCTGCTATAGCCCGGGAGTGCAGTGGAGGATGGCCCAAGTGCTTGGGCCCTGCACCCCATGGGAGACCAGGAGAAGCACCTAGCTCCTGCAGTGCAGTGCGCCGGCCACAGCCCGCCAGCCGTGGCAGCCATTGGAGGGTGAACCAACGGCAAAGGAAGACCTTTCTCTCTGTCTCTCTCTCTCACTGTCCACTCTGCTGTCATAGATACATAGACACGTTCTCTAAATAGTTTCCAGGTTCTCTCTATAGTTTCCTAACAGCATTTATTATCTAGAAGGTGTTTTTTTTCTTTTTTTTTTCTTTTTTTTTTGTACAGGCAGAGTTAAACAGTGAGAGAGAGAGAGAGAGAGAGAGAGAGAGAGAGAGAGAGAGAAAGGTCTTCCTTCCATTGGTTCACTCCCCAAATGGCCACTATGGCCGGCGCGCTGTGCCAATCTGAAGCCAGGAGCCAGGTGCTTCCTCCTGGTCTCCCATGCAGATGCAGGGCCCAAGCACTTGTGCCATCCTCCACTGCCTTCCCGGGCCACAGCAGAGAGCTGGACTGGAAGAGGAGCAACTGGGACAGAATCCGGCGCCCCAACTGGGACTAGGACCTGGGATGCCGGCGCCGCAGGCGGAGGATTAGCCAAGTGAGCCGCGACGCCAGCCATCCGGAATGAGGTACCTTTCTCTGAAGGGAGGAGAGAACTTCCACTTTGACTAGGACCTTGTCTAAATATGATCAGTGTCGGTGAACTCAAAAGGCTTCCATAGCCTTGGAAACTCATGACAAGAGCCTAGGGTGATTACTGATGCCATAAACAAGAGTGTCAATTTGTTAAGTCAACAACAGGAGTCACTGTGCACCTACTCCTCATGTAGGATCTCTGTCCTTAATGTGCTGTACATTGTGATTTAATGCTATAACTAGTACTGAAACAGTATTTTTCACTTTGTGTTTCTATGTAGGTGCAAATTGTTGAAATCTTTACTTAAAATATGCTAAACTGATCTTCTGTATATAAAGAGAATTGAAAATGAATCTTGATGTGAATGGAAGGGGAAAGGGAGAGGGAAAGGGGAAGGTTGCGGGTGGGAGGGAAGTTATGGGGGGGGAAGCCATTGTAATTCATAAGCTGTACTTTGGAAATTTATATTCATTAAATAAAAGTTTAAAAAAAAGATTCAAAATTGTGATCCCAGTTAAAAAACACATGAATTCAATCATGCAATAGTTTGTCAGGAAAATCTCCTAAAAGGAAGAGAATTTCTCGATAAGCCTACCTATGATGTCCCCCTATCTTACCAAGAAACTAGATTATCTCCAGCCTGTACCATGCTTCTATATTCAGGGCTTGTGCCAGAAAAGCTCTGTTTGTCTGGTCTGAACCAAAAGTCTCATCAGTAGGTAATCATTCAGGTCAGCATTTTTCCTAACAGCACTAACTCGTCACTGCAGTGACAGGCTTAAAAATACTACCAGGGGAATGGAAGTCATTCCTATTTCACACAAATCTTTTACACTGGATTTTAAACAGTATCTGAGGATTCACTATTCTCTCCTACACCATTGATGCAGATCCTTCAACTCACTGCTACCCAGAAAATCACTTCCCTTCTAGAAGCTTCTGAGAAATACAAAGAAAGGCAAGTGGAAGAGAAAAAGAGTGATGGGTCCTTTTAAGAATTTACAGATCATATTTTAAAATGTGGACTTGTTTTATTGACTGGTTGTCTACAGCTGCTTTATCCCAGAAACAAAAACATTCTGTGAAATCATGTGTTGTATGGTATGTCTTTCTCTTTCCAACAAAGCAGGATTTGGGAGGGTTCTAAAGTTTCTTTGCTGCTCTCCCCCACTTTAAACTGAGGACAATAAATTCATTTTAAAACCATAGGGCTTTCAAAGTTAGTCTAAGGTCTGATAGGACATTTATGCTATTTTTGTTAGGGGTGGTACTTTTAGTAAGTGACTTCATTATTCCAAAAATTGCATAAAATCTTGAGCATGTGTTTTATTGCTAAAATGTATGAAAATGTCTTTAGATGGTAAAACACTTATATAAGTATATTATAGAAGGAAATTTACATTAAATGGATCATTCAGTCTAAGAAAATACTTTCTTTGGACCTCATAATATTATTACAAATCATTTAAGCATGCTATTGTATAAACTATAATTTTAACTAAATTTTCTCAATATACATCTAGTTAGAGTTGTAAAGATTATAGTATTGCAGCTAACTATAGCTACATTATTTCTCTATGATCACACAGATTCAAATCGCTTTTCAGATTCTCTAATAGTATATTGAAAGTAAAATTTGATTATTCCAATCAATTGATACATTTAAAAATGCAACGTGAGAGCAATTCTCACACGAAAACAGCTAGTTATCATTTTATTCACTGAGATTTCTTTTTATGGTAACCAAACCCACACAGTCATTTTTGGCACCCACTGCCAACAAAGGAGCGGTATTCCAAACACAGTTTCACACTCACATCTACAATGCTCCCTAACGTTTCTAAGAGCTGTGGGAGCAGTGAGGCATTTTACCAGATGACAAAATTCAGAAGATTTGACTTTGAGGTAACCTGTGGATGGTGATACACACAGCCCATGGGCATCTTACAGCCAGTGAAGACAGGCAGTTTCTAGCAGATTCACTCATTTTCAGAAAGGGGTAAGTTGAAAAAGCTTTTACCTTCTGCGTGGTTATTTCATTGGTAACAGAACTAAAGGAATTGAAGCAAAAGAAAGGAAAAAGGATCACAGGGAGAGGTCCCATTTTTTCTGAGTCTGCATCAGCCCCTCTTCATAGCCCCACTCAAATAAACTTGGCACCCAGTTAACTAATTTCCTCAGACAGGCCCCGAAAGGAAAGACCCAGCACTAATCTCCCATACAGACCTCCTCAGAGGTCCCTCCAGGATAACAGCTGGTGGGATTGGCAGCAAGGCAGGCTTGCTCTGCCGATGAATAAAAGCCTACAGTATCCGGGGCTGTCAATCTGGAACATTCTGCTTAGAAAAACACTATCATAGGAAAAAACTCTACCTCAGGATATTAATCACCACTTGAGTGGTGGCAGAAGTCAAGTGTGCATTAAAGAATAACATCCTAAATAATCATAGGGCAGAATGACAGGCATAAAACTCCACCCTTTGCTCTTTCCAGTAATTTAATAACAAAACAGTTTTGAACATTAAAATACTTATTTGGTCTTTTTGAGAATTTGGTGGTGTTCAAAAGAAAACACAAGAGAACTTTAAAACATTTATGGGAATGGAGTTAAGACATACTTATTTGGGTGCAAAATAAAGTTTGAAATCCTATGCATAGTTCTTCTAAAATTTACGTTTTCTTTGAACTTTTTGAATGTCCCTTGTATAGCTGTATGCCTTATGCTAGTAATTATAAAATGACATTTTAAAAGTGATGGCCATATATTTGTCTCTAAAATGAGATAGACCAATTATAAAATATTTAAGCAGTGCGTGGGCATGTCAGAGTACTACTGCTTTAACACTATAAACCCACTTTCCACTGAGACACCCGTTGCCTGACCTCTGCACGAAGTGCACATGCTCAGGGGGTACCAGGTAAGGGGAGAAAGGACCTTCCGAACAGACAGGACCAGTGCCAGAGTCCATCTGAATAAAGACTTATTTCCCCAGAATGCTTTTTAGAAGGCACCTTCTTGAGAGCCAAATTCATTACAAATGCTTCTTTTAGCAAAAATTCTCCTAACCTTGGTTCTCTTTAAAATGAGCAAAAAGTTGCCAGTAGAAGAAGGAATACATGTATTACATAAAATCCTGCCAAGCAATTCAGAGAATTTTTAGAGAAAAATACAAACATTGTAACGATGACCCTACAATTTGACATACTTAAAACCTAATCAGATATTTAAAACCTAAGGGAAAATTGAACTTTATTTTTCCATATGGGCTGCATCACTGCAGATATTTGTAGAATTTTCATGCTTAGTCAAGACATTTATGATTTATTTTGACTATAGCATGGTGCCTTTCATATTTTGACACAAATCTTTTGACAACTTTTTACGATTGTGATTTCACTTTTCTAGTGGAGTGCTTTCCCAATATACAGCAAAAGTAATTACTATTATTAAGAATTTATTAAATAGAATTTCACAAACTCAAAGAAGTTCTCTCAAATGAGGCTATCCCAATTAAGCCAGTTATCATTAAAGTTGATATTATTATGAACAGCAAAACTAAAAAAAATTCTCACAACATTCTTCTCTTTAGATGGAATATATATTGCTTATTCTTTTGGTGTCAACTCCAGCTCACATACAAGTTCATGGTAGGCCAGAACTGCTTTACAAATTAAATGTATAAACAATAGAATAAAATAATAAACTGTGATTATTAACCTGTTATCTTCATATTAGAACAGTGCATCACAACTGTCTGCTTTGCAAGACGCCAACTCTCCCGTAGAAACTTGTGCACAACTTCTGGGAATCTGAAAGATCAATGAGTGACTATTTCAAAGACGATGACACTACAGTGAATTTCACAGGCATACTTCTCCATGCACACAAAACACCTTCTTTTAGGAAAGAAAACTTGGAATTGGATCTCTCAAGAAATCTCTTAATGTCAACAAAAATTTTCCTTTCTCTTAACACAATTTAGATCTTTTTAGATAAATACTTGTATTAAAAGGGAACTGCGTATAATCATGAAAGCAGAGGCAATTTCAAAAATAAATCTAGAGCTAAAACTTGATGTGTTGGAACTAGAAATTTTGTCACTGCATCCATGCTACATTCTGCTTACAGCTAAGATTTCTACAAAACTTCTTTTGGTGCATCAGCAACTCAACTACACAGAAAGAGGCTGCCACAAATTCTTCTGTATAGTTTATTCCAGCAATGTTATGTTCTGGGCTAAAATTATTTTCTGAAAGTGGAATCCAAACAAAGCAAGTACAACTCTGAGATTTCGCATACTCTACTAAGTACTGAAGGAAGGGACTTTCTCATATTTAGAATGAATGTTTATCCAAGTCTGATCCAAAGAAACACAAGAGACTAAACCATTTAATTCAAATTGATTAATCATCAACCATCTCCAGAAGGTTTATTTTCCAGTATAAAAGTTCATTAAAAATATTAGTAGACTACTCATAGATGGTTACTATGTATCCGTTATTTTTAGAAAAGTATTGCTTTTGGGGCTGGCACTGTGGCATAGCAGGTAAAGTCACCCCCTGCAGTGCTGGCATCCCATATGGACACTGGTTGGTATCCCGACTGCTCCACCTCCAAACCAGCTCTCAGCTATGGCCTGGGAAAGCAGTAGAAGATGGCCCAAGTCCTTGGGCCCCTGCACCCATGTGGAAGACCTGGAAGAAGCTCCTGCTCCTGGCTTCAGATTGGCACAGCTCTGGCCATGTGGCCAACTGGAGAGTGAACCAGTGGATGGAAGACTTCTCTCTCTGCCTCTCCTTCTTTCTCTGTGTAACTCTGACTTTCAAATAAATAAATAAATCTTAAAAAAAAGTATTGCTTTTTTTCCTGACATTATTACACCAAAATCCTCACAGCAAGGACTAAAGCTTTAAGACACAAGAATTAAAATATGCCTTCCCTTAATGCCAGTCCATATGTGCACTCGAAGTACTTCAAGGCAGTCCTTGGCTTTAATTCCACCCCACCTCTTTTGTGCACATCACTGCAGTAGGACTTCGGGACACCCTGTGCACTTTGAGACATGAATCATTACAAGCAAGTAGGCCCACTCGGTTCCTCAAAAGACAAAAAAGGAGCAAAAAATAGCTTCTGTAATTGAAGCAAGAACCACGTCAGAGACCAGATGAATGTGGGTGGTCAGATAAGATTCTGTTGCTGCAAAGGGCAATTTATTAAGCAAATGCTAGAATTATTTTCCTTTTTAAACTTTGTTCTTCTTGCCTCAAATCAACCATTTGCTGGCACTCAAAATGACACCTGTCAAGCTCTACTGTTATTAAAATTGAGAGTTTCATCAATGTCAAAAACCATGATTGATTAATATTAAAGGGATGGCAGTGACATCATTAAAATACATGGTCTATAAGATAATTAACTAGCTCTTTTTAACACACCAAATATCAAATATCACTTTTTTTTAAAGTACTTCCAAAAAACCCAAAAAGTGTACCTTGATAATATGATCACAGCTAGTGTAAAGTAAGGATCTCTCAGAAAAAAAATATATAAATAAATACATAAAAGAAATCACTGATGTCTTCGGAAAACTGGCCTACAACCTAAATGGGCTGACATTCTATAGATAGAGCTTTTCACAGGAAGCAGTACATTGTAGGATTTACTGACTGCTCATGACTGGTCAACCCCTAGTCATTGAACTCACAGACAAGAAGGGAAAAGGAGAGCTTAATTCTCAGGAGATCAGTACTCAAGCCCATACCCTGTGGAAATCATCGTTCCTGCCAGCCTCCTCCACAGACAAAACAGAGCACAGGAGCGCCCCAGAGAAGCTGTGGCAGGACACATTCTCTATTTTGATTCTGCTTCTCCAGTCTTGCTTTCAAGACAATGGTCACAGGGAGTGGGAAACAACCCTTTCACATCTATATGTGACATTCCAGGTTATAAAAGGTTATATCCCCCTTCCCACTCAGTGAGAGCATTCAAAATTTGGTTCTATCACATGACTTGCAGCTCATGACCTCTTTTAATATTTTTGTTTTCCTTGAAAAACAAACAAAATGCAATGGTAATAGCATCATATTTATGTATTATGTTACAGGAACTTCAAGATAATATGATTTTAAAGCAAAGATTCCAACAGTATTAACATGAAAGATACAACATGGATTTAAGCAATCCTGCACAAATCATAGTTGCAAATTGGAAGTAATAATGGCACCTATGAGAAAGTAATTATTGTTGTTGCTAAAATGACACACACAGACATCATCATGGAGAAGTAGTAGTATTATTGCAATGAAGACACAGAGAAACCATCACAGCATTAATTTTAAGAGAATCTTTGGGGTCAGTTTCTGCCTCTTTCCTCAAATGGTATTGAGAGTGCAAACTTATGTTCTCTAGACATCCACAGTTTACACAGTATAAAGTTTAAACATGGAATAAAGGAAGAGAGAGAAGTAGACATTTGGTCTAGCAGTTAAGACTTCAGTCAGGACAGCCATGTCTCAAATCAGAGTGCATGCGACTGAGTCCCAGCTCCAGCTTCCTGCTAATGCTACCCCAGAAGTCAGTGGTAACGGCTCAGTTCTTGGGCTCCCACCATCCATATGAGACACTTAGAATAAATTTTTGGCTCCTTGTTTCCATCAGGCAACCTCAGCTGTTACAGGCATTTGGGAAGTGAACCAGCAAGTAAAAGCACACTCTATGCTGTGTGTGTGTGTGTGTGTGTTGGTCTATTTCTCATTCAAATTTTTTTTAAGGAAACATTTTTTTTAAAATAAGGAGAGACTGTCATTTCTTTGCTTTGGGATTATTGGATTCATAGGAAATTAATAGGTAAAGAAAAAAACTTACTATTTAATAAAATTAACACATTTTCAGAAAGTGCTAACAAATCTTGCTAGATATTCTCAAGTTATTCAAAATTCACTCCAAAATATGAAGTGAAAATTAACCTTCACATTACTAAATGTAGGGTGATTTTTCCATCAGCCTGCACGTTTATGGGAGAGATCTTTAAAAATATTGTCCAATCCTTCATCTCCTATGGGTAACAAATACTTGGAAAGCTTGAGTATTCTTGTTTCTGTTCTGGTGAGTTCTTTGTCTTTCTACTCTCTGTAGGGAAGAAAAATCTTTGGAATTAGATATTTATTTTTGGATGTTTACAGATTATTATCACTAACCTAAACAAGGGTCAGGTAGGGCTAACGATTTGAAGATGGAAAGATAAACAAATATTGTTAAAATATCCATTGTTGTTAGGATTGTTTACTTCTATCCTCTACTCTTCCAAATTATTTTAAAGTAGTGATGGCTTAATGGTTTAATATAACTCTTGAATGAATTTTGAAAGAGGTTTAGGTTTCACTGGCAAACCTCTAAGGCAACTATAAATACCTTCCTATCATTCTTGTTTTAGCTGAGGTTAAACATGTACTAGATTATAATTTTATTTATTTTTTTAGAAGACATATTTATTTATTTGAAAGGCATGGTTACAGAAAGAGAGAGGCAGAGGCAAAGAGAGAAATCTTCCATCAGCTTGTTCACTCTCCAAATGGCCATAACAGCCAGGGCTTGGTCAGGCAGAAGCCAGGAGCCAGGAACCTCATATGGGTCTCCCATATGGGAACAGGGGCCCAAGCAGTTAGGCCATCTTCTGCGAGCATATTAGCAGGGAGCTGTATCAGAAGTGGAACAGATGGGACATGAGCTGGTGCTCATATGTGACGCCAAGCACTGCAGGTTGTGGCATAACCTGCAGTACCACAGCTTAAGAGGAACGGATGATAAGATGAACCAGTCACACTTTGGATGGAAGCTGTCACAAGGAAAAAAGACTGCACACATTCTATGAAAAAATGGCCAAAAGGATCTAGAAACAAGACATGACATCATCATTTCTCAGTTAAAAGCAATGTTTAAGCATGATATGCTTAAAAGAATGAATAATACTATTCATTCACTAGAGAAAAGACACAGTATTTTAATTTTTCAGTAGGGAGTAGAAAAGATTCAAAAGTAGTGGCTAAAAGAGGGAGAAGGGCACGAAAGAGAAAGCAGGGTTCAAGATGCACTCCATGAATTTCACAAGATTTTGTAGATAGCTATCTTCCCTTCTTTCACCCCCAACAAGCACACAAAAGGAGGAGCTTCGATAGCTCACTGTGCCACTTTGGAGCGCCAAGAGTGGCCCAGGGCAAGAGTAGTGAGAGGCAGGTGAAGGCAGGCACAGGCTGGAAACCTCCAATCTCTGCCACTTCAATCAATTTGGTGACTGTAAGATATAAGCTTACCTCTCTAGAAATGGATTTGATGGAGCCAGTGCTTGTAGCACTGGCACCCCATGTGGGCACCAGTTCCAGTCTTGGCTGTTCCACTTCCAATCTGGCTCCCTGATAATGTACCTGAGAAAGCAATAGAGGATGGCCCAAGTCTTTGGGCTCCTGCACCCGTGTGGGAGACCCAGAAGAAGCTCCTGGCTCCTGGCTTTGGATCAGTGCAGCTCCAGCCATTGCAGCCATTTCGGGAGTGAAATGGCTCTCTGCCTCTCTCTCTCTCTCTCTCTCTCTCTCTCTCTCTCTCTCTCTCTCATTACCTCTCTGTAACTATCAAATAAATAAAATAAATCTTTAAAAAAAGAAATGGATTTGATATGAAGACACAGGTTGGTGTTTGAAGGAAAAACACAAGATATGAATAGGAAAGGGGAAATGGTCATTTTGGAATACGGGCCAATTTATAAATGAGACAAGGAGAAGGCTTTGAAAAGTCAAGATGTATGGAGAGAGGGACT